TAATTCGTGTTGTGTGAGTGTATTTTTAAACATACACAATCTGTGTTAATCTGTTTACTCTGTATTTTAATCTTTTGTTTTTATCTTTTAACTTTTTTTTATTTGTCTGCGTGTGGTGGGTGTGCTGCGTTAACCATGAAACCGATTATTATCGGCCAGGAGGGTTGCAGCATAATCGTAAACTAAACTAAACTAAACTAAACCAGATACCGTTTTTTCTTACAATAGTGCAAAAAAGGGAGTTGATATATTTGACCAAATGTGCTGCTATTATAAATGTTTACGGTAAGCGGTAAAATGGTATCGAAAAGTCGTCATGGAGCTAATATGCTGGACGTTTATAGTAAATGCGTGGTACATCCACAAAAAGTGGAGAACCAAGCGTTACTAAATTTTAAAAATTAGAGAAAAAATTGTTCATTATCTATTGAAGAGTGTTGAGAATCTTCCTAGTGAGGAATTAATAGTAAGTAGACGAAAAAAGAAATTTAAGGACACACCAAGGATCCGCAAGGAACATGAGGAAAAGATGTACAAACGCTTAACAAACTTAAAATATACACAGTGCGCCACAAAGAAAACAAAAAACGTAATGACCTTCTGTAGCAGTTGTCCGGATAAGCCAGCACTTTCCTTAAAATGTTTTAAAAAATTGCATCAGTGGCATAAGTAGTTATATTTAATGTACTGATTAAATTATAAGTTATGTATTTTGTGTTAAGGTAGAAATGTTAATGTATAATGTTAAATTAATAAAAGTACATTTTGTACTACGTATTTTTTGGTATACGAACGTGGGCCATCGGTGATGCATGCCGCCCTACGGAACAATATAGCATGGGCCACCGGTGGGTCATGCCGGCGTCAACGTGTTAATCACGGAGACATGTTCCAAGTTAAGAAACATTAATTAAATAAGAATTTAAAGAGTAAGCATCTCTTTTTGATCTCGATACAAATATGATTATTAGCTAATTATTCTGCCTTGGGAAAATAATTTTGTCGCTGATAAATTTTCCGTGCAAAGAAAATGTAAAGCTTTAGTTGTATATCCGTTGACTAAAATATATTATGGAACCACAACGCTCACAGTTTGAGGTAAAACCTTTACGTTTGATTTCTTAAAAGCTTCATCTTAACACTTCGAATGCCCCGCGAGTTTGTAAGAAAATCTGCTTTAGGCTACGAGCGCTTCATCGAAAGTCCCAAAGAAAGGGTGTGAGATTTGAAAATTATTTCTTCTTTTCCAAATATTTTTTTTCTGTAATGACAAATGGTTGACATTTTTTTTGTGTTTAAACTGTTGCTTAAACCTTCTGCAATGTCTAAAAGAAAAATTAAAAAAGTAATTTTTAAGTAAATCATATAACAGTGAAAGGAAACAAAACCCTGTCTCGAGGTTTACAAAAGTTTAAGTAGTAGCGATAATGAAGAGCCGAGATTTTTAAGAAAGATAATTAAAAACAAAATTGTATCTTCAAAGTCTGATTTGAATACTGATAAATGCAGTGGTAATAAATGTTGTGTATATACTACTGATCGTATTTTGTAAGAACTGCTCGTTTAGGAAGAGAAAATGTTGATATCAAAGAAAGCACAATTCAGTTTAGTGAACGGAATGAATTTTGCTGTCTGCAGCAATCATTTTCGTTTCATTTCTCTAAAAATCATCAGGCATTTTTTAAAGACCTCGTAAGTACTTAAAAATCATCACCAAAATAGTGATGACGCGGATTGTATAGAATGCTTGCCGCCACCCGAATACGGATGATTCCTCCTAATCAGAATTTTTGCAGTCATCCGAACACGGGAGACACGGCAGTCAAAGTGTTAAAATGAAACGATAAGTCTACGATCAATTATTCAGTATCCCCATAGCCATGTAATCTTTCTGAGCTACATTTGGATATATTTATGTGTATCATTTCAGATTTTGCAGCCCCTTCTATTTTTCGTGTGATTTATTACCCATAATAATGTTAATATGCTTGTAGAAAATTAAGCATAGTTATGAGTTACACCGAGTGTTTCAAATCTACACTGAAACTTTCACTTGGACTGGTTTGGCAGCAACTAAGCAGTTCTGTTTATTTGATGAACAACCGTAAAAAATATTTTGGCCTGAGCCATACATGCCAAATTGATTTCTACAGAAACTTCTTCCAGTATGGATTGCTAATTTGCAACAAAATATGCTATGAATATCCTGCTTTTATTTCTCCAGCTTTGTTACATCAATTTCATTCATGTTTTATACAAACATCACATCGGTTTGAAATTTATTTGAGGCAGATAAAAACATCACTTTACGCGATGTAATCATCTGCGTTTGAATTTCAGCTTCTAAATTATGGGATGTAACAAAACTATTTGTATGAAACAGAAGAATTTAATCGAACGGCCATTTTATGGGGACGGAAACAACTTTGGCAATCGACTCTCAGTTGCGATGAGGATAGGTTCTCCAATATTATGTCTCCGTGACTCGAAAGTTAATTCTGAATGTTAGGTGTTCCGCTTGGTGTATCTTTTGTTTTGATGTATATGTCTTTGTAGCTGTTTCTGCTCTGCTGTTTTAAAATTAATAAGTAGCTGTTTCTGCTCTGCTGTTTTAAAATTAATAAGTAAGGTTACGTTATTTACTTTCTTCACGTTCGTACGGGGTTCGTAGATTTGGAGTGAATAACGACGACACTTGATGAAGTATCGAAACACACTTTAATTAGCCAATATTAATAAGGACAGCTCTAAAGTCACGTTTTACAGTTGTCGAAGATCTACTATACACTCCTGGAACAATCAACGACACAGCCTTCAGGTTATCAGGCTATAACGGTGAAGACAGCTTCACTGCAAAGCACCAGATTACACCTTCCGACTCTGCTTGGTCGTTCTCGGAACTCCACATAATCTCGACACTCTCCAAGCTACAACTCATGATGCGCTCGACGACACACAAAGCACAGCTCCCGACTCTTCGGTGCAGTCGTTCCCAGAGCTCAACACACTTTCCGACGATGCACAAACTCGCGATACACGAAGAGACTCTTTCGATGCACTCGAGGACCCACTCCGCACTCGCTGCCCGCTTGTGAACACGATCGACTCCGCACGGACTGACTAACTCGAGATATTATCTCGCACTCCGACTCTCCGCGTACCAGCAGGGTTTATATAGTTTTTGGCTTGTGTTCGAGAACATTCTGGGCTAAGCCGGTAAGAATTCGTTCCAGAAGGATCTCCATCCCTCCAATGCATATCGCCAATTCTCTCGCCAAACTTTGGCACCTGCCTCCTTTACCATTTATGCACCCTAAAACTGCTTTGGGTGGGAAGCATCTCAGGCCCGGACATTCGTACAAAAATTCCAAGCTAACTGGTATTTGTGTTCTAGAGACGATTCAGGATACCTTCGAACATGTATTTGTATATTCTGGGAAAAAGTTGTAATTATTTGCTGGAGAGCTATTTTTTAAATTTCTTTTACTATTTTCTTTCATTAATTTAGAAGTCAAACAAAAAAAATCAGTGTTGTATTTTCAAATTTTCACAGGACTAGTTTCGATGGTTTTACCGAACCATCAACCTCAGCTGCAAAAGCTCAAATGAACGAGAAAAGATGTAGTGATTAGATAAGATAAGATAAGACAGCCTGGACATGAGTCAAGCTGCTGGCGCCATCTGTTGAATCTGCCCATTTGAAAAGATAACTCTAATTTTTGTTATTTGACCTCTAAATTATTACTTGTTCTGCGTGTTATTCTATCTTAATTATTTGCTTTCATTTTAAAACATGCCTATTCTGAGATAACAAGAGATCTCATAAATATATTACTGAATACTAATTATATGAGGGTTTTGCAGTGAATCCCCATAATTAGCCAATAAAGAGTGAAATTCTGAGATATAGAGAAAATTAAATTCTAGCTAACGAGACTATAAGAATATCATTTTTCTATTAATAATTGCCACACATTGCATATATTTAGTTCTATCTTGGATATAACTAAATAATCAAATATTTCGAGGTAGAGATAAAACAAAAATAAATGAAAAGTAATGGTACAATGCTGTTTATAAACTTATGATGTCTCTTAATAGAAAGGTTACAATAAAGGTAATCGTTAAGTTGGCTTTATAAATTGCACAAAAGTAGCAAAAGCAAATTAGACAATTTAAATTCATTAGATTTTAGGCGAAGGTTACGGCCAAGAAAGTTTGAACTGATTTTAAATTTAATGAATGAAATTTAAATGAATTGAGCTGAAATTTAACATTCAACAATATACATAATATTTAGTGCCAAATGTAAAAATTACTGTATGAACATTGCCCTGTTTCTTTTCAGATCGACGGCCAAATCATAGGTCTCATGTGAGCCTATAGTTTGACAAATTCATAGAAACACAGTTGGGCTTTTCCGTATTAAGCAATTTTTAGGCTAATAATTCACACATTATATATAAGACTCTTAATAGTTACGAACAAATTGTTATTTCAAACAATGGTTTTCAAACTGGGTTTCGCAAAACCTGGGTTTCCACGCATCTACCTCAGAGGTCCCGCAAATGTTTAAAAAAATATTCGAACTAATTTTTAATTCCAGATAGAGCGCAAAGTTAAGCCTGTAAAATAACAAATTAAAAAGAAATGTTTCTATTGTTACTTAAAGTTTGAAAAACTTGACTTTATGAGCAAAACGAAATAATGATTTGTTTTCATTTACGACAAAGTACATGCAATATTAATGTTTTCCGAAATTCTTTCTTTAATATCCGCTTTTCTGAAGGTGGTGAGCTTCAAATAAAAAATAAATATAATTTCTGTAATTCTGTGAGTCGAAAGTGTTTCAAGACGCTAACATAAAAAAAATACATAACAAGCATACTTTTCTTTCTTTTTTTCCCCTTAACCTCTATGTACATTTCACAATGCTTTTGTTAATTATTATCATTCTCAAAATTAAATTATCAAACAAAAAATATAAAGCTTATACATACATCATTATAAGCAATAGCGACATGCTTATAGTGTCCATAGTGCCCTTCTGGCAGGGGAAGTCTCAAGAACCAACACCTTCCACCTTGGCCGAAAAAGATTGGGTCATTTAAATCGATCCAACCTTTCCTGGTCGGCGGCCTCTGTTCGTATACCTATAAATTAGTGAAATTTTTAAATAAGTTGCAAGCAGTGGGTAAAAAATTAAAAATTCTACAAATTTTAAATAAATGCTATTTATAATATGTTTGAATACAAAACGAGCCAAAGAGTTCTGTAACAGCAATGATTTGAGTTTCTTAACCACTGGTTTCATGACACTTATATCAGAGCGACATGAAACGTTCTATACCGATCTTCTAAAAGTTGATAGGTAGTTTCTTGTAGACATTTTCTTTATTGTTACCCATCCTGGGGAATTTTCCCTATTGTAACAAGCTAGTCTTCTTGAGCGAGCTCATTCACATTTTCAACAATGGTAGCTATGACCTACACAAGAAGCAGTCGTTTCCAAAAGCATTTTACATCGTTCCTTCATTCTTGCGAAATGCGATATATTCCGTATGCTTCATGGACCGTCAGAACATTCACTAACTTTAGTTGTGGTTGCTTCGATAAGTCATCGTTTTATCCTGGAGCTCTCTTGGAGTATAATTTATTGTCTGGATGACGCACTTATTTGATGCCTCATAATCAGCTTATATCAAAATACAAATGAATTCCTCTGGCGTCTCATGATTTGTAGCTGTTTACCCTTCAGAACCTATTCCTTAGACCATGCATGCCTAGCTTGGTGTCTCAGGTGAGCCACATAATTATCACTCTACAGTTTTGAGGGTCCCAAGGAAAAACAGAAGCCATTTTCACAATTAACTACATATTACAAAGAGTAAATACATAAAATGTTCCCTGATAGTATAGTTCTTTATAAATAAAAGAAGGAGGGGAAAACACATAGTAGGAGAATGAATATTGCTACTTTATAATCATTTGGCATCGGTTTTCCAACAGTCAGATTTTGGATATATTGAGACATGCCATACTACTCTCTTTAGAACATTATATTCTCGAACTGAAACCAAGGCCTAGGAAAACTGAGCTATGCAGACTCAGTAAAATGATCCATGCAGACTCAGAAAAATGATCCATGCAATGAACCTCACGCAAACTGAAAGCTATAAATTAAATATACCTGCTATAGACAATTTGCCAACGATACTTGAAGAACTAGATTCAGCTCATATTTTATTCCATACCATTATAGGTTTTCTTTAATTTTAATAAGTTAAAATAGGTGCTATTGTTTCCTCTACTAAAAAAAATTTCGCATATTGTACAAAGCAAGAAATTCGTGTCGTGGCAAAAAATACAAATTTTGTTTTTCATTCGCCTACAGAGTAAAATCTATCATCTATTTTCCAAGGTATCTCCTGCCGGTTTGTAAAACGTAAACACATGTTCTGTAACTTACGAAAAGTGCTTTGTTTTTCGTAGTACAGAAGTAACGTTTGGATAGTTACAAACAATTTTTGAGTTGGGTTTTTCTTTTGATAATACCTTTTATACTTTAACTAATTACATATAATAGTTAGAAACTAAACAGCTTTCATTTCTGATTACTAGTATGAAAGATTACTCCGTTAAATGCATATTTACCAGTAATTTGTGAGTTGAATTTTAAATTTTATTTTCCATAGAAAAAAATCAGGTTTTAAATCAGTTTAGTTTTTTCAGGTTTTTAAATCGAAATGAAGTAACCGTAACCAGATTACAAATTATTTATTTATTAGCTTTCATACATTCAGTTCTTCTCTCAAGTTAAAGTATATTTCACCGGAAATTTATTGCTACTTAACATCGTGGAAATACACAATGTGTGAAGTTTGAGATTTGTAAAAGTTTAGAATTTCCATACCATTCTATACTTTTATTTAACTATTAAACTTTTATTTAATTCTTAACTATTAAATTACATAAAACATTTCAAAATAATATTATCCTAAAAGTGACCAAAACCTTACACGGAAATAAATTTATCAGTAAATATATGCTGAAGTGCATGGAAAAATAATTTAAATCAAACGTGTTTAACTGATGCAAATTCAGTCATAAGATAGCTGTATTATTACATATTTCATAACATGTTTTCCATAAGAGTTTATTTTGCTTTAAGTTTCCTTTTCTCTTTGTTATTACTAGTATTAGATGCATTTTAACAGCAGTACGTATTTTAGTGTCCTTTCTTTTATTAAACATATACAGTGTCTCACAAAAGTGATGGGACACTTGTGCGTTCGCACCGCCAATTGTCGGCCCCTCCCTTCCCCCCCCCGGTACACTCTTTTGGCTTGGGTTCTTCCGTACCTTTCGTCCCCCTTGTTACATCCTCCCTTTTCTCACATACTTCAAATGGCCTTTCTCCCCCTCCCCTTGTTTCGCCCGGCGCCCCACCTGGTCCCCTCCGTGCTGGGCCCTTCCTTTTCCCTCCCCATGCTTCTCCCACCCATTTCCTTCTCTTCAATGTTTTAATATTTTGTTGGCTTTTCCCTTTTTCTTTCCCCCGTGCTTAATCTTTTGGGCTGGATGCGCCTCCTTTTTTTTGTGATTCTGCCGCGTGCTTTTCCCCATTCCTCTCTTGAGCCATGCTGTCCTTGTTGTTTTGCCGACCCTGGGTGTTTGCGACTTCTTGCTTCCCCCTTCTGTCACCTTCTTCTGGATTTAAGTCTGGAGATTGTGGTGGTTGTTTTTTCTTATTCCGGCCCCGTAATACAGCCGCCCACGCGTCTCCGTTTTCAACCCGCAGGTTGCTTGGGGCCTTATCCCTGGTTCGCCTAAATCGTTACTGATGAACGGTTCCTTTTATGCTGTGCCGATTTCACCTTTTGATCTCAAATGTCAATCTATATTGTACTGATCCATTATCCTGTCCATAAAAAACAAGCTTAACCCATCCAGTGGGCGAGACACCCCATACCCGTAACTCCTCTCACCATGTTCTACTAGGTTTCCGGCCCCCTCAAGTTCTGTTTGCGATTCTTTCTGGGGTTTTCCTCCTACCACAGATCTCTACCCTCCGCACCAACTATATTCACTGTCCTTCATCCCGCAACTCGGCCTTCATTCCAGTATCAGATCTCGTTCTTAGTTATGTGGCTTTTGCGCCCAGTCCCGTTTGCTATTTTCTCTTCTTTCACTTAGAGACTTTTTTCCTCGCGGCTTACCCATGATCTCCCGCAGATCGACTTCTTTCTATGTCTCTGCTTGACAATTATTCCATTCTACTAGTGTCCTCCCGCCTTAAATTTAGCCAGCAACTCTCCTTCGCTTGTTTTCATCTTTGCCTATATTCGTTTTCCTCCACTTGGATCAGCTTTGATGGGTCTGGCCAGTGTTTTCTTTTTCTTGACTCTCTGATTTTTTTCTCTCCGTCACTGCTATTGCAAACCCTGTTGACTGACTCCTGTTCACCTGTTTCCCCAGCCCGGTTCTCTAATCGCTTTTTACGTTCATTCAATATGCCAACTTCCTACTAATTTTCGTACACTTTGCCGGCCACGTTCTTTTTGTTTGCATTCATGGTTGCCCAGAGGTCCCAACCCCCACCCCCCCACCTTCCACACCCCCCCAGACGCCAGCACGGCAGGCGCTTTTATATACCTATTGCTCTCCGGCTCTTGAGCTCAACCCCTACTACACCCCAACAACCTTTTTTGGGTATGTAGTAGTATCTTACTGGGGTCCCCTCACTGTCGTGCCGCCATTTTTGCTGTCTGTCCCCCCCTTCCCCCTTGTTCTTTTATACATTATTATTTTCAGCTTTGAGCCCCGTCTGTTCGTTCCTTCAATGTTACTCTCTTTAAGTCTGCAAGACCCCACAAAACTTTTTTTTTTTCCCTGTTTTTTACTTTATTGTCTTGTACCGTTTTCCCTTTTGTCCAGTTTACAGTGCCCCATACTGTGGGCGACCCTTGTTCTCTGTGCTCTCTCTTTTTTCCAATTTCACCTTTCAAGAACGCTTTGAGGTTTTCAGTGTATCCCTTCATTTGCTCAACTTTCCTTGTCTGTTCTCTTTCAGGTCCATTTTCCCGCCGCTTCTTTTTCTTGTCCGGGCTATTGGCCCACTCTTCTTGCGCTCCGATCCCTCCCCCTGTTCCTCTGTCCCCTTCATCCATTTCTCTTTGAGCCGACCTCGCCCTCGGCCCCCGTTTTTTATCATCCGCTCCAACACCCGCCCCTTTCATTATACTTGTTGCCCCCTCCCTCCACATAGCTGGGACCCACCTCATGCTTTCCCTTCCAAAGTTGTATTGCGCCGGCACCACGTTAACCTTCACATCCCCAACCTCTGTTTTTTTGCTTTTCCTCTATCATCGTAGCCTTTCTTGTTCCTTCCCGTTCCCTGCTGCCGCCCATTACGCCCCGTCTTCGGTTACCTCGTAATTCCTTTTCCCTATTCGGACTTCCGCCGTATTACATGTACTGTTCCTTTTACCTTTTTGGCAGTCCCTAGCTTTGCTTCCCCCCCAGGCTTTCTACTCGTTCGTATGACCCCCGTCTCCGTTTTTGTTGTTTCCTTCCTTTTACCCTGGTGTCCGTCTACCTTCACCTCCCCAGGCCTTCGCCCCCCGCGCTTTCGCCTCCCTTCGACTCAACTATCTGGCTTTTCTCCTTAACTCTGCTTCTCGAGATGCCTGTCTCCGTACCACAACGGAACCCCATCCGGATCCCCTCCCGTACCCATTCTCCCCTGGGTTCCCTTCCTTGGTATTGGTGGTGGCTTTCTGCGCTCTTCCCCGTTAGCGCTTGGAGTATTCGTATCCAGTTCCTCTCATCTTAATATGCCCTTGTGCACGTGTTCGTATGTTACGCAGGTTACACGCCCTTTTCCTTTGATCCAAAAATCATTGCTTTTGCTTCGCCTCCCGCATACACTCCTCACTGTCCAAATTTGCTGAATGCTGCAGATCCCCGTCTCTTACTTCGCCCCTTTTCCGCTCGCAATCCTCCCCCTGTACTTTCTAGATATGACACACCATTTTAGCAGATCTTATTTGCATTTCCACCCTTTGTTGCCCCGGCTATAGTAATCAAACATAATGCTGTTTATGACAAAACATGATCATGGAAGGTAGTTTTGCCCAAGTGTACATATGAC